CACTGCGAGATTCACAATATCTGGTAAGATGGTAGAACCATGACAATAGTGTGCTACTCGTTCCAAGGGTGGAAGGTTTGTTCTTGCTGTAGATCGTAGCAATCTCAATAGAGGGGTTTTTTTCCTTAAGTTGAGAACGTTCTCCTTTTTCACTTAAAGGAAGCCTCTCTTTGGCATATTCAGATTGCGTGTTCAGATCAGGCTTCTGGCGCTTTGGGCCATATGAAGTAAAGTGAGGGCTGTTTGAACACAGGCATTGTGGGTACCACAGTCAGTCCGATAAACCCAGATGACTGTTTTTGGGTGCGTCCACAGCATGGGTCCACTGGACAGAGGGATGGTGAATGTCCTGGGCTGGGGCTGGAGGGAGCAGGATGGCACGAGATTTTATCACACCACTCTGAACGGTGACCAATTTGCAATTTATGACTTATTTTTGGAAATGTTTATTGTTTTTGGACTGTGGTTGGCTCTGGGTAAGACCATGGATAGCTTCAAAGCCTCAGGTAAGGGAGGACCATACTTTGGGAGCTGCAGCGCATCCTGAGGTACAGTGTCTCCCTGTACAGGGGTGACCCTGACAGCTCCATCTCACAGGCTCACTTCTGTTCACAGTTCCTGCTGGATCCTTCAGGCTGCCGTTCTCGCTGGGCCCCACCCCACAGTTCCTGGTTCAGGTGTGGGCCTGAGATAAGCTTTCCAAGTGATGTTGATGCTGCTGCTTCAAGTCCGGGCTTTGAGAATCACTGCCTAATTCTAGAGTTTCTTCTGCATTTGTTATCTGGAATTCTTCTATTAAAAAGAGTATTGGCTTGTCAAGTATATAGTCGAAGATATAGTAATAGTATGTACAGGAAAGGCAGGGTGGTAAGTCCTTGATTCTTACAGTGACATGAACTCAAAAATTTTAAATGTAGGTTTTAAATTCATTTTAGTCAATTCATTTTGAAGCCTCCATTCTCTTTTATGTCAGGGATTGCCCTATCCTTTTTTTTTTTTTTTT